CTAATAGGCAGACATTAGCTTTATAATGTCAGTCACACCATACATATGCCCTTATAAATATGTCAGACAAGTAGCTCCTGTTCTCTGAACAGGGAGAGGTAGTTAGCTGTGTTAGCTTGAGGTCAGGTGGGCACCTTAGGAACTAGCTCATTCAGACAGGCATAAGCTTTTGTCGGTGACAGCCTACCAAAGTGGGCTGTTACCTACAAAATTTACGCCTTTGAATTGGTTAGTCTCTAAAGTTTCGTCCTATCCTACCTTCTGCCTTCTCTGAACAGTAAAGAGGCTATGTCAGTAAAATCCGTGTTTTAAACTGAACAGTTTTTCTCTGAGCACTCTGCAAACTGGGTCACTAGCCCTAAAACCATGTAAATCTTTGGGTTAAGTAAATTGTCAAAATTATGGCACAAGTCACTAGTGTTCCTCTAGTTTCAGCTGAAACATGAAACAAACACCTTCTTGTGTCATCAATAGATCTGTGCAGGAAACCATTCTCCCATTCTGGAAAAGGTCTGGAGACTGAAAATTCTTACCACCCTGAAACGAGGGCCATAACTCAAATTTGACAAGCCAAACACTTTGCTTTGGGTTAAGAAAAACATTTTTTTTATTTTAATTTTTTTATAGTGCATTTGTGTTGCTGTAGCTTTTAAAAAAAAAACAAAAAACCAAACTTTGTATCAAATGTTAAAATAGGACACCATTTTGAAAACCAGAATTTTAAAAAACCCACAAAAACAGGAAATCTGCCAACCAGTTCTCTCAGACAGCTGCAGATTTGTCAAATCCCTATCTTTTGACAGGGACATTGTGTTAAGTCCCAACTATCTCCATTCATCAAGTCTTCAAAACATCCTGGAATTTAATTTAACCATTTAAGGCACTTTGTCAAGCTGCATGTAAAAAATTTAATTTAAATTGAATCAAAGAAAGTTCTTCTTAAGGAAGCTCAGTGCTATTAATAAGGTTATCCCAAAACTATTTAGAATATAACTTCTGTTGAAAGACACAGTGGCTGTTGTTGGTCAGTAGTTCGACCCTTGGCTGCAACAACAGGAGATTGGGAAGACCCCTTCTACAGCTGTCTCTCTCATGCAGTATCTAGTCCCTACTTGATAAAATGACGCTTAGCTTGGATTTTAGAGATTTAAATATTTTGCTAGTAGATTTACGCTACAATCCTTCCTCAGTCCTAGGGTCAGAAAGAAATACTGCAGTGATTCCATAGCTGCCAAGATTTTTATGGCTGTCATTCTGCATTTCTCCAACTCCTCAGAACTTTGCAGCAAAAGTGGGACTAAAACTCTGCCCCCATTGTTCCCAAGACACAGCTTCACACCAAGTGAGAAAAAGCAAATATCTGGCTAACCTTAAATCTTTGCATTATTAAAGAGACAGTAGTAAACAAAGGAGCCTACTCTTTACAACAACAGCATGAGGGGAAAAAAGTTATGCTCGTTTCCAACTGGACAAAAAATAGTAAGTATTAGAAATCCCACAAAAAAGATGGCTTCATTATGCAATCTCTCAAAGGAGCTCAGATAAAACCTTAAACATCTAAAACGATGACCCATCAGTGGTGACTAACAAGAACAGGCTCCCTGAGTGGTGGCATTACTGAAATAATTACTCTGTACAATCATACAGCATGTGCTAACTGAAATCATCAGCACTTGAGCTTAGTCTTTGCTGTTGGCTGGTTGATCAGACAAAGTAGCTGAGTATCCAACGATTTCAAAGGTTTTCTGAAAATTGCCAACAACTTTTTTGGCATGTACAGTAAGACCTTTTTGGTCTCCTCTTTCATCCCCAGTTTATTCCTCCATTAAGCTAAAATTAGCATTTCCAGGGAATGTTATGTACCAGAAAGCCAAACCTAGCTGGCAGCTTTCTATCGCCTAAATATTAGTGTGCATTCCAGTGAAGAAGATAATACTATAAACTTATACAAATTGTGAAAACCATTTATATAACACTTCCAAATTCTTGGCCTCTATATACCAAGATAACACAATTCAGAGCTATTACTCCAAGGTTTTTCCTAGAAACTTCTACCACTTTAAAAAAGCAAATATTTATACACCAGTAAGTATTTATACAGTATGATCTCACTGGGCTAGAAAGGACATTTTGGGGGGGGGGAAAAACGCATTGTTACCAAGTGACCCCTCAAACATTTTTAAGACGGTAAACTGTTTTTCTTCATATATATAAAAAACAACAAATCACTGTTTTCCCCCCAAAAGAATAATGATCCCTCCTAAAAGTCTTGGCATAGACTTAGAAGTGACTCGCGACCTCATGGTGCCAAACTTGAAACCCCTGAGAGTAGGTGCATGGGACTGACTGAAAATCTGGTTCCTTTGAAGTATCAGTTTGGACACCCGTCACCCCCTCTGTGCTTTTGAAAATTTTGACCAACTTGTTAGTGCTTTAGAGGATATGAACAGATGTACCTTTAACTGTTTTAAAAGGGGAGGGGAGCTGCCACTCCGGAGTGTTCATCAGCTGTTTTCACTTTAGTGTTATGTCTGCATCATCTTGTAGTTACAGGTATCACTAAATCATCCCAAGTTTGCTCACGAAGGAAGCAAGGTTAAAATTACAACAGTTTTACTACACTTGTATTGTTACAGAATTTCACAGACCTAAGGGTCGCATTGTAACAACCTGTGTAGGTATCCTTTGATATCAGCCAACATCCAAAGTTAGATATTTTAAATATGTGGCAGGCACATGCAGTTTGCAGTGCCGCAGACCCATCTGGAGCACCACAAACCATGCGTGCCACACAGGCAGGCATTCACCCCACTAATTTGCAGCGCAGCCGGAGATTCCAGTATCAAAAAAAAAACATGCCAGAAAAAAAAGTGGGGCGGCATACGCAACAGCAATATGCACCACCTGAAACCAGAGCCTGGCCAGCCAGAGCCACACTCCAGCTGCTGGCCAGGCTCTATGCACCTGGATCACTGCTGCTGGAGCCCTGAGAAGCCCCTGGGACTTCAGGTAAGGCTGCTGGGGCCAGTCCAACTTGCCCTGTGCCAGAGCACACATGCAGGGGTGTTCCCTGGGGACAACTAGCAGTGGCACAAATATGCACATTCCCACGTTGCCACTTGTGGGGACATGCCTCCTGAGTCAGGTAGGTGATGGTTAATCCAATAGCCCCATGCTATGGATGGTTAATCCAATAGCCCAAAGTTTATCAATAAAAGTGGCAAGAGTTCAGCACAGCTCAAATTCAATACTGCATACTATAAAATAGGTCTGTCTCAAGCTATCTTATCTTGTAGTCAGCGCACTTCATATTGTGTGCAAGTAAAGGACATTGCTGACTTCTTTTGTAATCTAATACTGGCTTTTGTATGACTTAACACATGTAATAAAATTTATGAGGAACTCTTTGGTATCAGCACTATAGTATGTGAGTCTGTTGCAAGCTTAAACACATCGCCACTACCCCAACTGTTAATAGATATCTGCTGAAAAAGGTCTTACCCCAGGCAAGCCATGCACCAACTGACCTCACTTCATAGAAACTGCAGGTTTTCCTTCTGGGCATGATACTTCAGTGGAAGAAGCAGTCATAATCCCTAACAAAATAATGTTAACTTAACTTGCAAATAAAACCTCTGTCCTAGAAAACAGGATTTGGTTCTGCTTTGACTCAAACCATCCTTGTCTCACAACAACTTAGTATCAACATAGCAGATCTTCCAATGAGGCTCTGAGTTTTAAATAAAATGTGGCCCTGGCAGCATCAGAAAACCCAAGATTTTATTTGTGCCTAGTGCTTGGCTCTTAAATCATTAACTCAAATTAAAGAGGTTCTGCATGAAAAAACTGACCACAGATTTTTTGTGGGAATAGGTAAAGTTTTCCAATGAAAGTATATTTCTTTTCCTTCTCATATGCTTTGAAAACTTCAAAAACAAAACCAAACTTCCCAAATTCATTCAGTTTGATGTATGCTAAACTTTTGCTAAAATTAATTTGCCAATCTCTGAACAAATATTCAGTGGCTTCCATGATAACAGAACTACAAGTTCAGACTAGTGAGAGTTGTGGATAAAGAATTAGGTAATTAATTTATCTGCTCATGTAGATTCATTCTTGGGGGCTGAAGAGATGGGAGCCATGGCCTCTCCATTTATTTATATAGGTAATCAAATGACGTGCAGATTTACTTCATCCATGTCCACTGCAATCTATTGTGCCCTCTCAAACTGGGAAGTGTTAGGGCTTGAAATCAAGCCACTGCATTAATTCCAGAAGGGTCACTAATTTATCTCACTGAAATAAAGACTGTCTTATGTGCTTCTCTCCCACAGTTGTGGAATACATATCACCCACCTGAGCTGGTACGTCCAACTTTAGAGAAGACATTAAAGACTCTGCAGCTAGATTATGTTGATCTCTATATTATTGAGCTGCCAATGGCTTTCAAGGTAAAAAAAAAAAAAAAAAAAAAAAAAAAAAAGCAAAGTGGTTTTTAATGCTTTCTTTATAACATTTGCCTCTATGGACTATATTCTCTGAGTCAGACAAGTCTAACACTTACAAATCACTGACCCGTTTTATTTTTTTTTTTAAGTTGTAGGGTTTGTCTGTTGGTTTGCCAATACCTTGCCTAGCATTTGTTACATCTGTGTCTCTTTTCAATGAAGGAATCAATGTATATTAAATCATCTTTGTACAAGGGGACTTGTAACCAGAGTGACCATGTTTGTTAGCTGCGATGAAATAGGCTACCACCAGTGGGTCTTGGTGCTTCTAGCCAAACATCAGTAAAACAATTTCCAACGTTTTCCACCTACCAGTTGGACTAGGCAAACTCCCTTAGTTGTGGTGAAAAGTGAGAGCAACAGTCTGTATGATATGAAACTAGTGAGAAGAGAGATGTGATGCCTCAGTCTTTAAATCTCCTAATCAGAGTTTCTACTTCTAAGTTACTAACCCTCATGTTAAAGAAAAAAGTAACAGATGGCTCAGAAACCATAAGTAGAAACAACTCAAAATGTGTATTAGAAAACAAATCATATTTTAACTGATAATTGCACTTGGGATGGGGAAACACCTTCTCATTTGGATGCTCTGAATTGACAAAAAATACCCTTTCCTCTGAATAAGATATTTTTTGCTTATTATTCAGTGGCTGATGCTCTTAGTTGCCAGCACCCCTAGAGGGAAAACACAGATCCACGGGATTCTCATGTGAAAGGTCCTATAATCTCTCCTTTCTTATGTAAATGGTATCCTGCTCAGAGGTACACAAGAGTAATTGGCCTCAGATGCTAAGGACTATATAAATAAAGCTCTAGCATGGAACCTTTTTAGGTACATTTGAAAAAACAATTCCCATCATGAGAAATTTCCTGTTTCCCTTATTTCTGCTTCTTTCTTCTATAGTTCATTCTCCCACACGTTGAAGGTCAATGTCCCACAATATAAAGATATTGACTGCTGCCTCTTAAAAGAAATGTATATCGGACTCCCTGCAGCCTACATCAACAAGCTGATTTATTATTAGAGTAGTAATCCTGCAGTTCTGTTCTCTTTGAGAGGGGAAAATCACTTCCTTCTGACCAAATATACATTGACCTATAGAACTGATAGGGCAAATCTGAGTAATATCATTTGAAAAAAAAACAGTCTACAAAAAAGGATACTTCTGGTAAGACAAGCTTTTAGCTTTCTCCAGATTCTACTACTGTTTTTGGGACTGCTGTTTCACCAACCCTGAGAACTTTTAAGTTGTTTTTTTTCCCTCCTAAACTACCAGTAGCATACAACTGGCATGCCAACCTGTGAATTTTATCTTAACACCTGTTCCAGCAGTCTCGTCATAGGAAATGCTGTCACATTACAAAGTGGGTCTTTTGCCCCTAACAAACGTTGGCTATTTGCAAGAGACTTCCTTTTCTAAAACTGAAAGAACCCTCCACCCACAAATGTAGCCCCTTAATAAGGTATGAAAATAAAGAAGAACTTGAGGCAAAGCCTGCAATCCTGCCTCTCTCCAAGCTGTAAAAACATCTCCTTGCTGTTTGTACTCCAGGCAAAAAGAACCAAAAGTGCAAATACAGAACGGGGAAGAACTGGCTCAGTAGTAACACTGGGAAGGATCTTGAGGTTTTGGTAAATCACAGACTCAATATCAGCCAATGGTTATGACAGCTGCAAAAAAAAAATACAATTTCAGGCTGCATCAATAGGAGTATTGGGTGTCAGATTTGGGAAGTGATAGTGCCATGCTCCTCCGTGCTGGTTTGGCTTCGTCTAGAGTATCTTGTGCAGTTCTGGGCTCTGTATTTAAAAAAGAATGTGGAGAAGTTAGGGAGGGTCCAGAAGCAGGTGACAGATGTTAAAGGGGTTGAAAAGCGGACTACACAAGGAAGGTTAAGAGAACTATGCATGTCTAGCTTGGGGGAAAGGTGATTAAGGGTTGCATGACATGACAGCAGTTTTCTAATACCTGAAAGACTGCCATAAAGAAGAGGGAAAACAACTGCTCTCCCTTGATGTAGAGTGGGATATGAAGCAATGACTTCAAATTGTAGCAAAGTAGATTTAGATGAGATATCAGGAGAGACTTCTTAAGTTGGAACAGCGAGGCAATGGGATAGACTGTCCAGGGAAGTTGTGGAACCTCCTTCACTGGAGGTTTCCCAGAAGATACTGGATAAGCAGTGGTCAGGGGTAATGCAGGCACAGCATTCCTGCACTTGATCAGGGGTTTGGACCAGATGACCCCTGAGATCTATTCCAACCCTAGGAGTCTACATATATGAAATATTTAGAGCAGAATAGGACACTTTTGCTTGGATGAGGGATAAAGGGTTTTGAAACTTCGTTCTTAAATTAGGGAGATTTGTAGGCCTTATTTCTTCTGACAAAGAGTTCTACAGCCTAGGCTGGATTGCTAATGAAGCTGTTAGAGAGACAGGGCTTTTTTTCTTTGACATGACTAAGGCCCCACCAAGAATATACTCTGTGGTATCTTAGGATAACTGCAGGAAAGGCCTCAAAATACAGCCAGCCAGCCGGGTGGAATGCTGGGCACTGTGGAACCTATTACTGAATATTTTTTTTTCTTTTCTTTCTAAATGTGAATACTAGAAGGATGGGTAATCTGGAGGGAATATCCGAGATGCTAATGGGGCATATTTAAGGATTTGGAAGTTTGAAAAACTGAGATCAAAATTCACTATGTGACTAATGATTAATTTCTTTCTCTGAAGAACTTCATATTGCTTTGTTGTTGAAAGGTGTTAGATAAAACTAAATTCTGTCCTAGCTAAAGCTTACTTAGGTTTTCAGTTGCACTTTTAGTCATCACCTAACACTTCTCTTTCTCACCCATTCAAATAAATATGAGCTTTTCTTTTGACTTGAAAGGGGGTAAGAGTAATCCTT